TGGGTCATGGAGCATGATACTCATCAGAGGAAAGTCCACTGGTGAGTTTATGGGGTGAACCCTTATAAAGGAGGTGGATGATTGGAGGTTTGGACTCGAAGGATCAGTCTTCCACCTTTCTTCTTTGTTCTCTCTCTCTCTCTCTCTCTCTCTCTCTCTCTCTCTCTCTGTTTCTCTGTCTCTCTCCTGTCTTACCACCACAGCATGAGCTGTTTCTTCTCTGCCATGCCCCTTTACCCAGCTGCACTACCTGGAAGCCAGCTGACTATGGACTGAAAGTTCTAAAATTGTGAGCTGAAAAAAACCTTTCCTTCTTAGAGTTGTACATGCCAGGTGCTGTGTCTCAGTGAGAAAGAGGCAGATAAACCTAGATTTGATCCTATTGTTCCACTTATTAGATACATGACTGTGAGTGAATAAATAATCTTTCATAGCCCTAGTTTCCTTATTTATAAAGATGATCTATCTCATAAGTGTATTGTTAAAATTATACATTAAAGTATCAATACAAGGATAGCACATAATAAATAATAAATATTCAATAGCTAGCAGTGATTATGGTCAGGATTGTGCTCCCTGACTAATAAATATGAATACTGATTCTAGATCTACCAGTAGATCTCTCTGTGATCTTAGATGAGTCACATTCTCTTATTGAGACTCTTCTACATAATGAGGGACCAGGTCAGTCCTTGAAGGTCCAAAACCTCTAAAATAATTTCAGCAGAAGTCTCTGTTGCTCTTCTGATAAACCACAGCTGGACCATGAATATAAAATCTGTTATTTCATGGTGGACTCTGAAAAGCACTGAATTTCTATGAACTGTACAAATCAGCCTGTACAGACTTAAAATATGTTATAAAGATCTGCTAACATTTCCATTCTCCACTATTTCTGAAGCTTGTTTATATATTGTTGTTTTCTCTTATTTAAATCTCTATCAGGTCAGACAGACTTGGGAAATATTAGAGCTAACGCATGAGAGTCTCAGAAATAATTGATGAATGAGCACAAAGCAAACATCTCTCCTTATGGTAGGAAGCAGGGATGATGATATGGCCACTAAAAATGAATAATTTCAGTTTCTATAATGCTAGGACTTTGGAGCAAGAGGATTTAGACTCCAATCTGAGCCTAGAAATTACCAGTTTTACTATCTTGACCAAGTTAGTTATTCTTACAAAATAGTTATAAAAGAGGAAAGATAATTCCAATTTCAAAAGATTGCTGTGTGTATTTGTTATGATTACTGTTATGCAAATTATTTATAATAGTTAGATAACAATTCCTGGATTTTATGATACCTTGTCACATTCTGAAATGGAAATATATGTCAATCAATGTATTAAGATTTACTTTTTTCTTTTCTTTCCTTCCTTCCTTCCTCCCTTCCTTCCTTCCTTCCTTCCTTCCTTCCTTCTTTCCTTCCTTCCGTCCTTCCTTTTCTTGGAAGATGTGAATAAATGGAAACCTAAAATCCATTAACAGTATCTTTGGATCTTTATTTCTATTGCGAGTTCCTGTGCCACATAAACACATTATACTTTTCTCTTGTTAAACTATCTTGCAGAAGGTTAATTTTGGACCTAGCCAATACTATACAGATAAAGGTAAGAATTTCCTACCATTACACTATCTATTGCCACTAATTCCTCAAAAGTTCTGGCACTTATAAACCTCATTTAAGCACTAGCTTACTTGGAATTTATTTTTATTGCAACTGTTTATGTATGGAGTCCTGTCATCGTGTTGATGTTAAGTTTAATAGATTATTCTTATTCTCAAATTTAATGAGTTGTATACATTAAATATGTACAAAATTTTACAAGTCAATCATACCTTAATAACTTGATTTGAAAAGCAAGGAGATAGGGCACACTAAAGCGGGCTAACACATTCGCATCTCCATTTTCAAGACATCTACCTCCAGCACCACCACAAATACTCCCACATCTACCTGGTGACAAATTATTTAAAGAATAACTTCTCCCAATTTCATTTTATTGGGGTAGTTTAAGCACAGAGAAATATCTGTCATTTAAATGTGCTGTCTAGTCATTTTGATAAATGTGTACACTGTGTCACCACATCTATACTATATTTTCATGCATCTGAAAAGATACTTATATCCTTCTACCAGACAATAACTGCTAATCCTATAGTTTACCACTATATTCTACATTTTATATCTTCTAAAGTTTCAAATAAAAAGAATCATACCACGTCATCCTTAGAATTTTTTAAATCTCACTTAGTGTAAAATTTTGAGAATGATTCACGCTGTTGTACACACTGGCAGTTCTTCAATAGCTATTGGTGAATAATATTCCACCACAGGAATATGCATAGCTTGCTCACCCAATCTCCTACTGCTAGACAGCTGGAACTTTTCTGGGTTGAGGCTATTATGGAAAAAATTACTATAAACAGTTCAAATAGCTTTCCATGCACATGTTTTTGTTTCACTTGGGTAAGCTCTAGGAATAGAATTGTTAGGTCATAGAGTAAATATAGATTAAACATTTTAAGAAACTGGTAGGTATTTTGGAGGGGGAATACTGGGAAACAAACTCAGGATCTCTCTTTACCAGGCAGATCCTGGGCCACTGAGCTATATACCGCGTTCAAGAAACTGACAGTTTTTGGAAATGAGTGTTTCATTTTTATACTCCCACCAGCAATGTATGAGAATTTCTGTTGCTCCAATGTTTGATGACCTCAATATTTTACATTTTATCCATTCTAGTAGCTATCAAGTGGTAGTCACTGTAATTTCCATGTGCTTTTACTAAATTACCAATGATATGAACACTTTTAAATACGTTTGTCAACTGCATATAGTCTCTTGTGAACAATTTGTTTGAATGCTTTGTCCACTGTACTGCTTTTGTCTTATGGCTGAGTTTTAGGAATACTTCATATATTGAGTAGAATTCCTTTCTCAAATGTTATCCTTTTCCTAGTATGTGTCTTGGTACCTTATTTTTGCAACAATATTTTTGTAGCAAACTCACCCTACCTTTTTCTTTCCTGTTTTCTTCCTTCCTTCCTTCCTTCCTTCCTTCCTTCCTTTTGTGTTCTTTCTCTCCTCTCTCCCTCATTTTTTCCTTCCTTCTGTCCTTCTTCTTCCCTTCCTTTCTTTTTTTCACTTCTTCCTTCTTTCCCTCCTTTCTTGCACTAGAAATTAAACTATGTTCTCCTTACCTAGAAACACCCCTAATTCTTTTTTACATTTTAATTTTTTGAGACAGGATTTAGATAAGTTTTCCAGGCTAGGCTTGAACTTGCCATCCTCCTGCCTTAGCCTTCTAGAGTGCAAAATATGAACTTTGCTTAATTAAAGAAAAGTAGAATGGATGGGCATGGGTGTGCTGCCACAAGTCTGTGACTTAGCACTCTGGAAGGCTAAGGCAGGAGGATATATATGCATATACATACATATATATGCATACATATATATGCGTATATATATTCATCAAGGAAAGCACATTTGTTACAATTTTAGTATTTGACTGTACAAAATAGTTTTCAGCTTTGAATTACAGAAACTTGACTGACAGCACATCCTTCACTCCTGGCATCAAGAACTATAATTTCCAAATCATTTTGACAACACATCCATCAATTAAAAGAATAGGTCAAGGCAAACCACTTCCAGACCCCTCCTGATTCTCAGAAGCTATCCACATTCCCCTTTAAACTTTTCCTACTCTTCACCTCCTTTGTCCTTTGGTATGTCCTTTGTCCTCAGGAGACACAAACTCATTATCTTTGACATCTAGCAGGTTTAGAGCTGTATTTCTACATCACTTTGGAGGGTGCACCAAGATCTTTGGAAGGAGATAAGAGTTTGTTTTTGTTCATAGCACCACAAAATATTTTGACTAAATTCTTGATTGTGATTCATTTATGTAATCAATAATTGTCATCTGTCATTAACTGGTTTCTTATGCCTTTTTTTGGTTGCTTGAGTCATACTAAAAATGGAGAGCAAGGAAGACTGGGATATATTCATATTTAGGTTTCTTTAATGGGACTTTTTTATTTTTTCAGGAAAGGCCTTATATTCCTGTTTTATATATACTGCATTTAGACTTACTTCTAAACTGGCTGGTGTTACTTGTATTCCTTTCTTATTTGACAGTTATGAGATGGCTTGTTGTCTTATTTTAGAAAGCTATTTGTAATGACTCTTTTGAATTTCTAAATTGTTAGATGTGTCTGAGATAGGGGATGGGTTTTAGAATTTCACCTCTGTTACAGATTGTTGTTATTATTACTGTCAGTAAATAATAATATGCTTCTCTTTACAATCCTGAAAATTTTTTCCTTTTTAATTAGAAACTTCTGAACCCATAGAAAATGAGTTTTCATCTATAATGAAAGCAAAGATAGACATTCTTTTATAGATTACACAAGGGAATCAGAATTCACACTCATCAAGGAAGGCACACGTGACTTTTGGTTGACCTAGTGTCTGGACAGGGGTTCCTCATGCTACTGGAGGAAAGAAACCCCTTTGGGTTCGTTTAGTATTGGTTTTCTGCTTGGCAGTGCAGCTGGAATCATTGGTAGCTTCTATCTTCAGAGGCATATTTTGCAAAAGACTGGAAATCCACTCTGAGGAAACTTTTGATCTTGTCGTTCTGCCTTGTGATGTTTTGGATTTAATTACTGTGCCATACATAGAGTCACTGTTCTGTCCCTTCCCCATTGCTCTGCCTCTAAGATATAACTTAATTTTTCTACAGCAAGATTTTATGCAATGCATTTCTCTGTGGCTTCCAAATTCTAGGATCAAGTTCCCTCTTCTTTCAGCCTTTCTAGAGTGAAGCTGATCTTTACTTATCTCTAGGCCATATTCTAAACACAGACTTGATACTCAGACTCTCAAAGAATAAATGTAAAAGTTTTAGTCCAAATTTATCTGCCTTTAAATCCTTAGACAGAACTGGAATTTAACTCCTTTCATTTCCTTCTCCCCTCAAAAATGATGCTGTTGGCTCTAAATAAAGGCTGGTGGTTTTCTGAAGCTGTTGGTTTCAAGCAAGAGCCAAAAGTGGTATCTTCTATGGTCTGTTGGCCATTTCAGAACTTTATAGATACTGTGATCAATTCATTAGAAAGAAGCAAATGCCCCCCACCACGAGCCTGGCCCTACAGAGAAGAAGTCATCCCCCACCATGAGTCCCCCTCCATGAGTCCCCCACCATGAGTCCCCACCATGAGCCAGTCAGTGTGAGCCTGGAAGAGAAGCCATGCACCTGGGTGAGCCCACTGCCACAGGCCCAGAGGAGAAGAGGCCACACCACTTGGGTTCCACTGCCATCATGCAACATCTATGAGCAGCTGCTTCATACCTCTTTGCTTCCCTGGAAACCTCTGATGGGAGGAACCAAGGTGCTTAGCCCAGTCCTCTGTACTTCAGGAAGGGTAAGCAATGCAGGAAACACCTGGGACTCAGCAGCCAGCTGATTCGAAGGAACACAGGAAATGAGAGATGAAAGAGCATGGTGCAGTCTCAGACCTCCAGCCACCCAGGACAAGTCTGGAAGACATAAACACAGAATAAATTAGATGTCACACATCTCAAATCTCTGAAATGATGGCAGCTGAAGTAAACAAATTAGCGCTTATATTGTTTAATTAATTTTGTAAGCTTATCTCATCCAGAGCAAGTCTAGGAGACATAGACATAGAGGAAGTTTTATTTTTGTTTTATTTTCTTTAAAATAAAAAAAAAATAAAATGACACTGGTTTTGATAGCATAGGGCTGACTGACTGGTTTTTATAGTACAGATAGATTCATTGATAGAAAAAATATTCCTAGGGATGCTCATGAATTTAGTAACTGTTTTAAATGGAAACAGGTATTAAAGAATAGCCATAGACTCAGACTCCCCAGGACTGCCTCTCTTGCCGAGATGTCTGTCTGGAACATCTTAGCAGGCCAGCCACCCTTCTCAGAGGTGTGCTAACTGAGGTTCTGAAAAATAAAGCCTGTAGCTAAGTATGGTCCAAGGGTCACAGACCAGGAGAAGTGCTCCATGCCCACAGAAAGAGTAGCTAACAAGACTCTGACTACTTCCTCCTACTTCTAGTTCACTGCCACTGCCACTGGGTGGGGTTAAGTCTAGGGGACACCTTAGATTGGGCACAAAGGATAGGAATAGACAGGGATGCCTTATCTCCTTTTCTTTTCCTTTTTTTTTGGGGGGGGAATCTTTTTCCTTTTTATCGGTACCAGGGATCGAACTCATGACTGCCTGCTTGCAAGGCAGGTGCTTATGCCGCTGAGCTAAATCCCCAGCCCCTTCTTTTCCTTTTTAAAAATACATATTTAGCTCCACAGAGTATCACCTAGTCTCTTTCTACACCCAAACCTGGCCTGAGCACTGCCCTGGACCTTTACTGTGCTTCTTTAGAGACAGTAACTACATGCGACTGGCAAAGCAGCAGTGTTTCTAACAACCGTGGCTATCAAACAACTGTGGTTACCAAAGTAACAAGGAGAAGCCTTACAGCTGGTATTTCAATAGGATAAATGTTCAGCTTTGGTTCTGCCTTGAAAAGTCTTTTGCTTTTATAGGCATAAAAGGGTTTTTATCATTCTGACACAAGAGATCGCTGTCAATTGACCTATAAAAAGGTATAGGTAGTCTATTTATAGTTACAAACCTAGAAAATATAAAAGTCTTATTGTAGTTCAACTAGATCGGATACCTCTGAGAGGTGCACTCTAATTTAAATGCAATTGCCTTGTGTATGTTTGTCTGTCTTTTTCTATGTGTGTTAATAATCAGTTAAAGCACCTATAACTAGTTCATTTAAGAAAAATATTTTTTAATCAACAGTTTTAATTTTTTATTGGTTCTTCTTGAAATTTCAATGGAAAGACCATTTCTATAGGTTTTCAGGGTAACCATATTTATTTAATACATTAACATATATGGATTGATTATTTTAAGTCTCACATATGACTTACAAATAAAAGCTTTAAAGTTTGATATTATGGAGGTTATATTTGCTTGATTGCTACATAAATTTTTGTGTCAATTTTTAGATATATGTTCTATTTTAGTTGTTATATAAAGAAATAAACACATATGATATAGCCTAATTACCTTTTTTCACAAGGTTAACAGTGAGTTAACAAGATAAAAATAGAGATGTCCTCAAAGTTGCTAACATTTCTGTCCAGCTTGTTAATAATACAATAATACAAAAAATAATACGTTAATAATACGATAATACAAAAAACCATCTTCATAAATACAACGTCCATTATTGTCTGTGTGTCATGATTGAAATGATTTAAGTAGTTTTCTTGGTCAAAGATTTCATATATATATACATATATATATATATATATATGTATATATATATATATACATGGATATGATATGTATATATATTGATATATGATATATATATTGATTTTTATATATATGGATTTATATATGGTTCAATATATGTTAAGTGTTATGATGAGTCATCTAAAGTAATTGTTTTTGGGTATACAAGATTAAGTTTTATTTTTTTAATTTTCTTTTGTTTTATTATGTTAGCCTAAGCATTAAAAGAAATATATCACATTATCTTAGTGCTTTTTATCTTAAAGAGAATAAAACAAAGTGAAGCAAAATAAAACAGAACAAAGAGTAAAACAATGCAAATAACAAAGATTTCAGAAAAAGATGGCAAAAAATCAGCAGTGGCTGTCATAATATCTCTTGTTTTCTTCAAAATAGTCCATACTTTCACTTACAATAAGCTAATACACATCAAAATAGTGCAAAAGCAATCAAAACAAAAGAATGAGAGCATTAAATGACATTAGGAGACCAATAATGGCTACCATAATGTGTCTTGTTTTGTTCAAAGTTGCTGTCAATATCTTCATACATATTGAAATCAAATAATTGAAGACAGACTAAAACAAATCAAAATCAAGAATAAAAGCAGTATTGGCTTCTGAATCAAAATGATAGGAAGTCATCAATGGCTACCATGGTGTCTCGTTTTCTTCAGTGTAGTCATACTATCACACATACTGAAACAATTCTTGTAAACTCTTTAGGTGAAGTTCTAGGATTATATAAGCACATATATTTACATCTGCCCTTTCTGTATTAGTGGAAAAACAAAGCAACAAATAAATAACTATATCTAAGAGCCCAAAACAATAATAGGGCTTTCAAATCAAGGTGGTAGGAACGTAACAATTTTTGTTGTTTTGCATAGTTATCTTCACAAGTCTTATTTGAGTCACAAGATATAGTCATGCAAAATTGATCTAATCCTATGGATGTTATCTGTTTTGATCCAAGAACTAATAGAATTAGTAGTCTAATCATCTTAGTAATCTTAAGTGTATATATACAAATTTATATCTTATTTCATTTCACTTTCTTCTTTTCACTTTTTCCTTGAGTTATTTTTCCCTCTTTGAGCAATTTCTTGCCCTTTCACAATATTTATTGAAGATTTTGTATCTTATTCACTATTTCAGTTTCTTACACTAGGGAGACAATATGGTACTTACACATGTGAGTTTGATTTCTTTCACTTATGAGTATGGTCTCAAGTCATATCCATTTACTTATAAAAGCCTCAGTATGGTCTTTCTTTATAGCTGAATAGTATTTCACTGTATAAAAAGACAAGGTTTTCTGTGTCTAAAAACAATACAGCTTTCTAAAATATCAAAATGTTTTGGTTAAACTTATAAAACTAGATTTAAAGGTTTATATTTTACTAAAACATTTTCTTGTATTTTCATTTGTTAGGCTTTTGATTACTAAAAAGTGAGTGAACTTTAAGAATTAAAGATTATCAGGAGCTGGGGCTGGGAATTTAGCTCAGCGGCATAAGTGCCTGCCTTGCAAGCAGGCAGTTGTGAGTTCGATCCTCGGTACCGATAAAAAAGAAAAAGACAAAAAAAAGAAAAAAAAGAATTAAAGAGTATTTGAATGTTAAACTATGAAATGTTTGCAACAATCAATTCATGACTGTTTAATAAACAACTACTAGCTTATGACATAATGTATATTTGGACATATATGTATATATATGTACATCTAAAAACAAGATATGTTGTGAGTCTGAGCACTAAAGTAAGTCTCTAGAATTAAGACTACTAAGTTTAATACATACAAAATAATTAACATGTTCTCTTTTATATAACATATGTTTAGAACTAAAACATAAAATTATCAAAATTTGACAAGCCTTTAAATCTGGTCCTGACATTTAAACTTAATCTGCATCTATTGTTTTTGACTAAAGAAGCATTTTGTTATTGTACAAATGAGATGCACTTGTATGTTGTGTAATAAGTCTATTTATAGTTATTAACACTGTTTCCAAAACTTATCAGAGCTGTAAAATGTTAATTTTTGTCAATATAGTTATACCTTATATAAAATCTATTAAGAGACACTAAAATGTGTCCTAAGAGTAGAAACCAAATATATATAAAGACTTTTACATCTAAAAAACAAATATTGTCTACTTAAATATCTCTCTGTTAACATAAAATGGTTACAAATGTAACAAATTAGGTAAAAATTTCTTTGTCATTTAGTATCCTGTAAGCAGATAAAGATAACTGATAGAAAGGGTATTTTGAACTATGATAGACATTAAATGTGTTTTAGAGATAATAATGTTATCACGATTATCATGCTAAAGTGCTGTACAGTTCTTAATCACAACCTTTCTCTATAAAATTTATAATTGTTGTCTGTTGATATTCTATAGGGATTCAACTTCTAAGCCAAACTTGACTGGTAAAGAAATAAAAGTTTATTGGTTGTACTATATACTTCAAGGTGCTCAGTATGTAAGATAATAAACTTAAATCTGCTACTCCCATTATAAAACTGATACAACTGATCTTCTCTTTTGAGTGTTTAGTCACTGAGGTTTGGAGACCAGAGCTAAAGGGATAACTGGGTGAAGCGGACCCCAATATTTTAGCCCTGGATCTTCACTGTCAACAATGATGTAGGACATGAAGGGACATTTTCCACAAGACTCTATAACTTTGGTGAGTCATCAGTCTCCTGAACAGGGAGATTGTTAGACCCAAGACAACAGGAGTCAACCAATATACAGTGTGCCAGAAAGAAG